CCTGTGGCAGAGGTCAGGCCGAGTGTACCCTGTGGCAGAGGTCAGGCCGAGTGTACCCCGTGGCAGAGGTCAGGCCGAGTGTACCCTGTGGCAGATGACAAGCCGAATTCGGTTCCCGAGCCGTGTTCGTGCTGAGAAGTGGTTTGGGCCGTACCTGACAATCCGTTTGGCTGATGTCACTCAGGTTAATACGCATGACTCGGTCCCTGAAAGGAACAAAAGGAATGCATCAGATCCACAAGACACACTAGCAACAATGTCAACTGTCACAAGCCGCGTTTCACACAACTGCACCAGACGTTTTGCCTCCACAGGAACACACAACAAGTTAATAAGTCGGACGACTTCAACACTTGACAGATCACAGTTCATAAAATACGCGTGCATGAGTGCGCACTTGGACTTCAGCGCCTGATGGGAATAAGTGCCACCAGAAAACACACACCTTGTAGCTCAAATTCCAGCTGACTTCCGTTGCAGTGTGCCAAGCTATCAAGCCCCCGAATTTTCCCTCGTTTCTAAAAAAAATCAACCGATGTGACGCGAAGAAGGCAGGAGGATTAAATACATTCCATCGTACATACATTTGACGCTGAGCGAAATAAACCTGTCATCGCAGTGAGCGACCGATTACGAGCGCTTAACGGTCATCTCCTAGTTTCGCGCTCGTCAAAAGAGGCCACTCAAGCCCCTAGCTTTCAACAGCAGGTGATTAACGGGCGATGCATGAATCTTATCACCCGTTTAATACATTTAGGGAGCTGAGCCATCGCTTTTCATTCGTCCCAGTCGGCCAGATTGCGCCGGCTAAGCGAGCTCCAGTGTCCTGCCAGTGTCCCGCCAGTGTCCCGCCAGTGTCCCGCCTGTGTCCCGCCTGTCGTCAGCGGACACTTGCCGAGCCCCGCAGCCGACCCTCCCCCGGACCCAACAGCAGCTGCCGAGTCCGGCTGTCGGTATACTCTGTCCCGGTTACAACTTCTCCCCAGGACCGGGCCCACCGCCCACCCGGACCCACCGCCGGGCCCGAGCCGACGTCGGATCGCCACCTCCGGCGACAGGCGGCGCGGCGGACGGTGGGACGGTGACGAGGTGGGTGCCGGTAGTGTAGTGGTTAACGCGTCTGGGAAACCAGAGGTACGGGGTTCGATTCCCGCGGTGCCCGCCCTTCCTGCCAGGGTGAGAGAGGAAGGCGACGCCATAGAGCCTCAGCACTTGAGTGCGTCGTAAACTCAATAACTCCAACAACCACTACACTACACTACCTCCAATAATAACCACACACGGTGCCGAGGGCGGTGCCCGCTCAGGCTCGACGGGCTCCGGGGGCGACCCCTGCTCATTGCGGTAATGGCGCGCAGTCCCGCCGCGCTCCTCCCTGCGGCGTCCCGCGGGCACGGCAGCCGCGTCCAGCGCCACTGTCGCCACGGGACACGTGGGTCGGGCCGCGCTAATTGGTGTCCATGACCGGTCAGTCCTGGCCGATGACCGTCAACGGAGGGAGCCCCGGGAAAAACACATCGCTTAGGATCCACACAGAGGAGATGAGACGCGATGGTCTCAGTTTCGAGTACTTGCGAAAAACTTGGTTTATATAGAACGATCACAAGCATGAGAGTAAAAAAAATTATTGCGACATATGGCGTGAGGGTAGCAGTTGACATCCCATCATCGAAATGCATTACCACTCGCATGTGCGTGCCACTTTCATCATCTGCTGCCGACAAAAAGTTTCCCCGCTCGTGACGTTTATTGGCCCCGATATTGGCTGACTCACGACGGAAGCACTCACAGCGCCGCAGTGGCGTTTTTCAAACGACAAGCCCGAGCAATGGCAGAGTGCGCATTCGGATAAATTAAGCGCGTGAAAAAGCAGCACAGCGATCCCCCTCAGTGTGGACGGCTGCGCGTGTGTGGTGCTCCGTTTCGATCGCCAGCTGTCGTTTTTTTCCTCTCAGAGATTCGCAGCGATCACAATCAGAACGGACGCCTCTGAACGGGCGTCATCGTTACGAAACAGCGTCACCTGAAGTCCTCCGGCTCCGCTGTCCTCTCCGTGCTCCGCTGACCACTACACGGCTGATCACTGTCCAGAGCAGCGGAGAACGTGTTCGGCGGCTGGACCACGGAGCGCTGACATGCTCCGCCCTGGGGCGCCGACCTCGGTGTCAACGTTCCCACCGTTTTTCCGCGCTATGACCCGGCACTGACCTGACCGCACCGCACTCGCACAAGGGCCGAGGCCACGGCAGTGTTCGACTAGTTACAGTTGGCGCAGACTGGCCCCAGAGCGCCTCGCGGGCCGGTACGGGCGGCTCCGCTGAAGCTGACCGAGCAGAACAGCCAGGTCACACAAGGTCAATATCTCGAATCGAACACAAGACATGAGTGGACGACGAGCAGGTAGTGAGGTCTCCAGAGCCATACGCATCGACTTGGCTGTCTTGAGGAGCTTGTCAAGCTTTGGAAGGACCTCTCCTAGGGGCAAGCGTGCAGATGCGCAGCGAACTTGGTTGCCTTGAGGAAGCTGGGGTCAAGCCATGGAGAGACCTCTCCCAGGCGGCGTGCAAATCACAATGACTTATTTATCGAAACGAAAATTATTAGTATTGCAAGTCAGTTCGTAACGTCGGCTATGGTTGTCCAGCCGACCCGTCGAACTGAATGACCGCGTTTCAATGGCAGTAACTTACAACACAGCCGCTCACGACAAGCAATAACAGCAGGTACTCAACGGAGAGGCCATATTGGGGCTGGTAACGACCCTTAAAATCAGTTTCGGTGTAGCCTGGTATCGTTAGAAGGCACGTGAAGTCCGCTACTGCAAATTGGCAAGTCACCTCCAAGATTAAGTTGTTTTGAAAGGGAAAAACCGCGTGGGTGTGCCCAGCTAAGAGACTGGTTTGGAATACTAAGACTGATACAAGCACTCTCGCGGGCACTTATAATAAAGAGTGAATATGCATGAGCAGAGAACAGGCTTAATCATATAGTTTATGGTAACGGGATGCCACGAAAAGCGACGAAGGCTTGGACGGCAGCTTGCTACTTTTCCGCGGCGGACTGAAAAGCCTATGCAATCCAACAGAACCTGAGAAATACGGTCTCAGTTCAACGCCCCATGCCGCAATCATGACTATTTGCGTTTACACAAATCAAACGCGGTCAAAATCCATTATAAACCCAACGTGAAAACGTGTGAAACAATCCCACTCTGAAGAAGCCCGACCACAAAACCACGCCTCGCGTTCGTTTATCACGCACGTGATTCTCAGCACGCTTTCGAATTCTTCTGCGTGCTGGCATCTGATCCCTCGCTCAGAGTGTATCCCGCCCGCCTTGCTGCGAATCGGAGCTCGCAGCGACAAACCCATCTGCAGCGGCCGGCACTGGCACTCGTATATCAATGGCAGCACACCACGGCTGCTGGCAATGGCTGTAAACACAAGCTGGCGCGTTCTTAATAAATGTCATCGAATGCGCCGTGAGTCGATGGCTCGAGTCCGCCGCCAGTCCGCCCCCGCAACACGCCCCCTCCGGGCTGCGCATCGCGCCGCTCCGCCACACGCTGACGTGACCGTTTGCGGTCCAATACCAAGCTGAGATTCGACCCGTGGCCACGCGGCGCAGAAGACGTCCCCCGCGACATGCAGCGAGGACATGGCCTCGGCCGCTCGGTGCCAGAACCCTCTGATGGCAAGGACAGGCTCTGACAGTCGCATTTACATCTGTGTTGTTTACCATATGTGGATCGGCTGCCCGATATCTTGGGGCTGACTTCGACTGGAAGGTACATTCAACATTGAATGTTGCATCATCCCCTCACGTTGGAAGATACCAGGAGGCAGTGGGTAAACAAAGATACCAAACAAACCTTGAGATATACTACGAGAATACTCGACGCTTAAGGCAGCGCTCACGGTACCGATGAATGGTTGATATATTTGTTTAATCGTAACCCGGGACATGAAAACATGCTTTTGTCGGCATACGACCTCATATTGTCGTGAATAGAAGCTTGAGGTATTGTGTTCCTACAAGTTTAGCGTCATTGTCAGTATAGTTGTAATAATAGCATAAGATAGCAGTGTGAGATAGCACAGAAATGAAATTTTTCAAAATTACGTTGATCCTTTGTGAACCGGCTGGTATCGTACCTGGAAGCGCATCTACAACATGGCCAAGCATGCGTGTCCAGCATCCTCACCCTACCACCACGTATCTCGCTACTAACAAAAATCCACCGATTGGCTCAGCCCCAGGATGGGCTCGATGGGTGAGATGGTGCGGTCCTTGCGCCGGGCGATGCCTCTGCGGGACGGGGATGTGTGATGGCGTGTTTGCATGTGTGTGGCGCAGTGGGCGCAATATGTGCAGCGGGTACAGCAGCGGGCGCAGTGCAGCGGGTGGCAGGTGCATGGGAGCAGTGATTGCAGCGCGATGGGGCGTGACGTGGCGCAGCGGGTCCGAGTGGCCAGCAGCGCATCTACGAGACGGCCAGCATGCCGGCAGATCCCGGCCAAGCGCCGATCGCAGAGCCGCTGGCCAGAGGTCCGCCGGGGAGCGGTTGGCGCGCAACTCCGTCTCCCCAGGGGCTGTCTGAACGCGTGTCCGGCGGCAGCGGCGGCATTAGGGGGATTAGCCCCGCTGCCCAGCACCTGCCCCGCCGACCGAGCAGCGGCGCACATCGTGAAGACGCCCCCCCCCCCTCCGACCGCAAAGGAGAGGCGAGAGCGAGAGCGAGAGCGAGAGCGAGAGCGAGAGCGAGAGCGAGCGCGAGCGAGAGCGAGAGCGAGAGCGAGAGCGAGAGCGAGAGCGAGAGCGAGAGCGAGAGCGAGAGCGAGAGCGAGAGCGAGAGCGAGAGCGAGAGCGAGAGCGAGAGCGAGAGCGAGAGCGAGAGCGAGAGCGAGAGCGAGAGCGAGAGCGCGAGCGCGAGCGCGAGCGCGAGCGCGAGAGAGAGAGAGAGAGAGAGAGAGAGGAGAGAGAGAGAGAAGAGAGAGAGAGAGAGAGAGAAGGAGAGAGAGAGAGAGAGAGGAGAGAGAGAGAGAGAGAGAGAGAGAAGAGAGAGAGAGAGAGAGAGAGAGAGAGAGAGAGAGAGAGAGGAAGAGAGAGAGAGAGAAGAGAGAGAGAGAGAGAGAGAGAGAGAGAGAGAGAGATAGAGAGGAGAGATAGAGAGAGAATAGAGGGAGAGAGAGAGAGAGAGAGAGCGGCGAGATAGAGAGAGAGCTGAGAGAGAGAGAGAGAGTCGAGTGAGAAGCGAATAGAGAGAGAGAGAGGAGAGATGATGATGACACGCCATTGTGATTTCTTCCTCCATTAAAATTTACACGAGTGCGCTAATGGCACGCAGGTTACGCTTGCTGGCTATGGAAGAACATACCTCTGGCATGAAATGTCTTTCTAGACATTCAGTTTACTCTCAAGGTACACGATGCAAGGTTCAAGCAGGCGCGGCGGTGCGGCGCGTCGCGTCTTTTGTGCCAAACAGTTACCCACTCCGGCACCACGTCAACACAGCATGGCGGAGTAATTGATCTTGTGACAAGGACCAATATCAACAAATGCGGTAATCGAGAAGGAACAAACTGCGCCGGCGAGTAAGCAAGTCATCACAAAGCTCCAACTAATCCCGATTCCAATCGTGAAACATTCATAGCGGTGGCTTTGGCGGGCGTACTCAGGGGCCTGACTGCCGCTGGGCACGACAACGCCGACCCAATTGGACGTGCAATATTAATAAGCCAGTTAGCGCAATCATCGCTGTCTGGCATCACAGAAAGGTAGACCTTCGATTGGTCGACTGAGCCACGACATCGGTGCAGCAGAAGTCAGAAGGACGGGATGAGGGAGCGATCTCGCTCCAGACTACTGCTTATCGCTGCTGACAGCTGCCGATCATGGGACCGTGTAAGTCGGTAGGACAGAGGACATGCTTTGCACTTCCACCGCCAAGGACATGTCCAAGCTGCGCTAATCCTGAATGCAAGAAGATGATCACAACCCGACCATGGCTGCTGACTCGTTGGGTCTGAACGGCCACACAGCAGCTTCTCCCGCCTTAATCCGTATTGATGAGATGCGTGAACACTTCGCGCTCTTCGATTTACGAGACGATACATTCCTCATCGATGGCGCTTACTGCAGATAAAAGAGCCTTGCTCTCTTTTACGGGCGGCTGTTTGAATGTGTAGATCCCGGAGTATACGGTTAGCTCGAGGGCTCAGATCTAAACGTTAACCACGCGACGGCGTTCGACACAATGCAAGCTATGAGCGAGTTCGACACATTTATCTTATAGGACACACATCTTAAAAGGCTTTAGCACAAGGACATCCTCTCAAAGTTTGCCCATAAATAAGGCCCAAACATTAGTAACAAAGGCTTTGCAGGGATTCGAGCATCGGCCACGCAACATAAATATCAGCGAACAAATTTGACATCCCTGCTATGCCACGCCACTGCGTCCAAGTCACGTCGCATATTCACTGCCGCGACTTCCCTAAAGAATTGAAGCATCCGAAGTCACAAGCCTCCTCCTGTAACCATGCAGCCGGTCCCGAGGCGCCGCAAGGCGCGCGAGTCAAAGCCTGTGGTACTTCCACTTCTCGAACGCTGCCCGCAGCACAGACAGAACAGACAATTATGGTGGTGCCCCTCCCATCAAACGTCATTCTTAGTGATGCACATCGTACTTGCGTCCAAATGCTGACAACACGATCATTTCTGGAGCACTGATGCCGACACAGCATCAGTAAAAAACCATACATCAATCAAAAAAAATGACTTCCTGGCGTATCCCGCCTCAGTTGCCTTAACATTGAGGCTAAGACACTGCAAGCAATTCTGTCCCGTGCCTCTGCCTTAACGAGGCCTTTAGGCTGCAGCGTACACAGTTTGCAGTGTTCGATGGAGGCATCCACATTTATAACCAGGCCAAAATCGGAGTGCATTTAAGACGACTTGGTAAACTGACGTGTGCTCACGTTTCACAGAGGCGTAGTAGTTACTACGATGATATTTTACAAAAACGCATGGCCGGCAGTTTTTGAGTGCCGTCAATAAAGAGGGAAGCTGCTGGAATGAGCACGTGCATGAACAGTGGGGCTCAACCTGAGTTGGGCAAGTGAAACAGCGTCACCGAAAGCACCAAGCGATTCTTACATTGCATATCTAAGCCGAGACGATTCAAACCGTTGTAAAATGGAGATGTCTCTTAAAGATAAGAGACTAACTTATGCAAAAGACCACTTCGCTTATATGAGTTTTTATCGTTACGCCTCCGAGAGTGCGCCGTTACCGAACCAACCATTTTGCTGGTAAAACGTTCTCCGGGACTTGACATTATGGTCTGGGCTATCCACCAGATACACCGCACCCTCCAATCCAAAGCACCCCTCGACCGTAGACCTTCGACGTCCCACATAGTTTAACTCCACCGCAGCCGTTCCAGGAAAACGCCGTAACATCCAACGGTTACGAAACCTGCACCACAGTAGTCGCCTCATCGCAGACGGCCCATCAGCTGTGCTCATTGACAACTGATCGCTCCATTCGAGCCGCGCCGGAGTCCGGGCGTGCCTAATATGGTGTCAAGCTCAGGCAGCGGTGTTCCTCCTCGACACTTCTGTTGCGTCAACGCCGGCTTCAAACACCGCTTCTGGTGCAATGGCGCAAGACAGGCAAAGGCGATGTATGACGTAACGCAGCAGCTCCGTCATGGGACTAGATTGGCGTCCGAGCCATGCCGAGCGGTGTGAAGGCGATTCTTTACATGCAACGCTCATAGACATTACGTTAAGCTCTGCAACCTTGGGCGAAACTCAGTCCACTCTGAGATGAATTTTACGACGACTGGGGTGACTATTTCGATCACATAGCAAGTTTATACCGGTGGAAACGGCGTTTACTATCGCCTCCTGCCACACGTCCATCAAGCAATAACACCCAGCCACGTGCCTCTTCGTGCGTCAGACGAGCGCGTGACTAGATACTGCGGTATGGTATGGCGCAGTGGCAACGGCCACATCAACCTCACTGAACTCGTTTATCCTTTATTCCCGCTGAACAATAACCTCGTTGGTGGATCCGCGCGCTTGTTTTCTCTAGACCCTGCGACTGTTGCTCTATGCGCGGCCCCAGGGATGAGGGCGACAGGCCTTGACCAGCACCCCCGGTCTCCGTGCGGAGCACCGCCTGTCCAGTGGAGTCGGCCGTGGCGACCGCGACCCTGATTGGGCACCGCCCACCCGACTCTTACAAACCCTCGTTGGATGCGCCGCCGACCCCGACCGCCTCCCTCAGTGCATCGTACGTTCCGACGGCGCGGCCCCCGCCGACGGCCCAACGGCGGCCTTCGAGCCCACGCGCCGCGCGCCCGAGCGCCCGGGGGTCGGTCAAAGGTCGCGGCCTGTCCGCTGCCGAGCGCCGCAGCGTCAGACGCTGCCGCTGATGTTCCGCTTCCGTTTCACCGGCGGCCACCTTTCGTCACCTGCGCGATGTCCCGTGTTTGTCGCCATCCCGGTGACGACGTGAACGGCGAACGGGAGGGAGGCCATTGCATCATGCAGTGACGAAGCCAGAGGAGGCGGTCAGGTCGGGGTCCAAACGGTGGCAGCGCCGCAAACTGGACGGCTTTGAGTTTAGTGGTCTACCTCCGCCCTGCATGCTGTTAATGGTCAGACCGCGGTCGATAGCTCCTTGCACGGAAGCTTGGCTGCCGTCGTGCCATTTCCTGTCAATGCCAATCGAGCCAGCGAGCTCACCACGCTCCGTGGCGGGCCCGTGGCTGAGACCGACGCCCCAGCCAGGCGGCGGCCACACGCATGGCCCGGCTGTGGGCGGGTGGACGAGCCAGTCCTGACGTCCGCCGGGTCGCCGGACGGTACGGCGGTCTACGGTTTTGACCCGGGTGGGTCATCAGACGTATGGGCCATCGGATCATCAGGTCATTGGGTCATGCCGGATACCAGTGGCCGCGGCGTAATAGCTTCTGTGTGTGTTGTCTGTGTCCAGAAGCGAGACAGTATGTGTTGTCTCGCAGGTTTCGTGGACACTCGCACTCCCCCTCCTCCCAATTAAGTTTCTGTATTCCAGCCTGACGTACCAGGGCAACACAGCCACCCAGATCGGCACCTGTTGTCCGTTGGCGGGAGGTTGGCCAGCTCGCCGTAGCCCGGTGACACCCCAGCAGACCACAGAGCCGGCGGACAGCGCCACCGCCGGACCACCGGACCCTCCGCCGGGTGCAGCACGTCCGCTCGGCACGGCGCCACATGCCGCTCGCGCAGCATCCACGATACGGCCGACAGCGCGGGGGCAGCGGCCCGTAAAAGCATCACGCCTATCGGCGACTGGCGGGGCGTTATCCATTAGCGGCGGCCGGGCCGGCACACTCCCGTCAAAACCCGTAATGACATTATCAGGCGCGCCGGTGCCGACCTGACGGCGGCACGTGACGCGCCGGTCGCGCCAAACTGCCGCTCTCAGCGCGACTGGCGCGGCCGCGGGGCCCCGGCCGCGCGCCGACACGGTCCAGAGCCGCACCGGCCGTCTCAATCAGCCGGCCTAACGGCCCGCTTATTTTGACACGAGGTGATAGAAGCGCGCAAGGCCGCCGGCGCGACGGGCCGTCGTTCTGGGGGCGACCGCGCTGTCCGCCGCGTCGGGAGCGGGACGCGGCGGACCGGGCTGTGCTCCAGCTGGGGGCTCTGCCGGTGCCGTGCGGCCGTTCCCCAGCTGGACAGAGCAAGGTCGCGTCGGCACTACACCGGGACATCAATCGGACCCCGCATTCTGCAGCGGACGCCGCGCGCACCTCGCCGACTTTTACGACGATCTTAAACAGAAAAGTGGCCGATGTTCATCTTGAGCCACAACAGCGGACAACGAGCGACTCACGTCCGTTCACCTGCGCGGAGTGACACGCAGTAAACTTGTGCGTCTATCCGACGCCGCATCGACGAGAGCACTCACATGGCACCGACGTAGAGCGCGTCTCGCCGCTCGTCCAGATGGAACGTCCGGTAATAGAGCTTTCCGCAGGTCAGCTCCTTGACGTGCTCTGAAAGAAGAGAACGGCGGCGGGTCAGACAGCGCACCCCTGCGGACCGGCGCGGTACTAACGGTCCGACAGCTCGTCCCCGTGCACGAGCACCGCTCACTGTCAACAAATCGCAGCTGATACACAGTATCAACGCTGTGCAAACTGTCCGCAGGTTGCGCCAGCCTCTTCACCCCGTCACCGCGAAAGGCAGGCTGGATAGCCTCCTGAAAGATCAACGTGCACAACCATTCGTTCTGCAGAGGCGAACGTGCAACACTATTTGGAAGCAAACAAGTGCGGCACGCCACGGCTTCATTAATCACATCACGAAAGGAAAAATTGTGACGCCATTGCTGGAGGAGTCATTCGAAGGGCATTCTCGAGGCCCGAATCCAAACAATATGTCCACCATCAAGGCGATTAGAGCGTGGGGCTGACCACACCAGCCTGGCTCCCGGTGCACCCCGGTGACATACGGCACTGGCCATGGCTTCGCTAATAATTTACGACAGCACTTAGTCCCCTGAAGCACCCTTCACGACCCTCAAACGACCCGAGTCAATTAATAGAGGCTAAATAATGGGTTTATGTCGGCTGGCGTTGGCACCGCGGCCCGTCAGCCCTACAAAGGCGGCGCCAGTTCACCGGACGAGGGAGCCGTGCCAGAGGGCAGCACCTCAATCACACGGCGGCCGAGCATCTCCCGCCACTGAAGCAGTAACTGCTCATTCGAAAACTTAATCGCCTAGGTCAGGACTAGCGTCGCGACGAAGCCGGATGAGAATGAATTGAGCGAGTCCGGTCCCCGAGCGCGAGCGGTCGGAGCTGCGGCGCTCGTCGGCCCCACACGGTCGGCCGAGGAGTGCTGAGAGACCCGCTGGGTGGCGTGCAACTGCGCGACGTGGTCGCCCATGGTGAGAGAAGACTGCTGGGAAAATGGTATCGCCCGTGACGGCGCGCCTACGGCCGAGCGACACCCGCTTCCTGGAGTCCAGAGGCTCGATTCATTTCAAACCGGAGAGCGGGGCTGCACGAACTAGGCGTCCCCCCCCCCCTTGTCGACTGGAACGAGAAACAGCTTCACACCGGAAGCCAGTACACCTCCATGGGCGTGATACGCCCCCCCCCCCCCCGCCCCTCGCGAACGATTGCCAACACCGTGATCAGTCAAGTCGGTGATGGCTTCATTAGCCCCCGAGTCTATCTGTTCCGGCCGGCGGCCAGGGTGCTGCCGGAACGCGGGGCTGGGCAGTGAGGTCAGCACGAACCGGGACGGGATGTCCTGCCTGCCCCCGCGGCGCCAGCAACGGGGCAGGGTCGGCCACACGTGCCAGACGGGTCTGACGCGAGGCAGTAGGTTGCGAACAGTGAGAAACAGCGCATCATTTCCAACCTTTGCCACCGATGAACAGGATAGGATACTTGTTGTTTTCCATACCGATGTAGCACAGAGGCGCTGACATAGTTACAAAGTTCTATTCCAGCAATTATTTGGGGATGCTTTTGGAGGTATCTTGGATATAGCTGGGGGAGAGGGGCCGTTGAATAGACACAGAATGCCTCCATCGTTTCTCTCCCGCTGGCAGCCGGTCGGCACACTCGACACAATTCATCCGTGACGTCCCACTGCTCTGTCTCACAAGAGCCGTCACAGTCCATCACCGTCGAGCCCCCGCAGCGCCATTGTCCCGTCCGTCCCCTGACCGTGCATTACGACGGTCGTGAACGACACCTGCTCGACCGTGGACCCGAGCGGAGCGCGCACGCACGCGACCGGCCCGCCAGCTGCACAGCGGCGGGCCGGCGGCCGCGGGCGGACCGAGCCCGGCTGTCGGACGCGGCCGAGCGCAGTGCCGCTGTCCTCCGGTCACCGTCGTCACGCCAGCGGGGAGGGGAAGGGCCAGCGGGACGGCGCACCCCGCAGGATCCGTCCGGCAGGCCCTGCTCCAGCCGTCGCCGCAGAGCCGCATTATTCAGCAACCGGAGCTGGATGGCGTCGGCGATGAGACCGGACTGGACTTCTTCGGGGAGTGCGTGTCCCGTCCAGCGCAGACGTCCTGGGTGGTCACCCCCCACTCCGTCACATTTGGTACAGCGCAACGCAGAAACTTCACATTTGGAAGAGGTACAGTTAAGGATAGAGGAGCGCACAGCCACGAGTTCACTGATGACATTTGTATGGGCAAGCAATATGCGGGGATAAACTTCGAGCGAACTTCGGACTTCATGTACATAGGCCCTCACACTAGAGATGAGTCCGCCGATCCAACTACTGATGCGTTAATCCAAGTTTATGGCCGACGAGGCTCGGCAGGAGTTCCGCTGTGCTTTGTGTTCCTGCATGCTTGACGCAAATCAGCGAGCCAAATGTTACGAGTTCTCACACGTTCTCTTTTCGGCTGAGCCCGGTCTGCGGCGACGGACGACAGAGAAGCAGCGCGGACACACCGTTAGTTCGTCAGTTATTGGGGCTTTTGGGCGCTTCGACTGCGCGGTCATACAGCGCCCACACATGGACGCAGTGATGATGTCACCAACGATCCGCACCAGCGGCACCAGAAGCTGCAAACCAGCGGCAGCGGCCCCAGATTCTCCGCGGGCGCACCGGCACGGCGACAGCCACCGCAGCCATGCCGGCCGTCCTGGAGTACCAGCGACTCGCGGAGAGGGTAGCACCGCCCGTCAGCGAGCGCTGCGGCGCCTCGCCGCCGGGTGACAGGTGAAGTGACAGGTGAACCGCGCGGCTTGCCTTGCCCCGACGGCCTGAGCACCGGGCGCGCATCGACCAGCCGTCGTCCAGCGCTGCCTCCACAGACGACACCAAGAGACACCTCCGACCGCTCCCGGCCGGCGGCCGGCCGACATCAGCCCGTCCGTCCGTCACCGCTGACGCACCTCACCCGGCGGATCGCGGCCGACATGTCGGCGCAGCGCGGCGCGGCGCCGACATGTCGCCCCACTGACGCCGGACGCAATTTCGGACAACGGTCGCTGCGACCGCGCACTTCAGCGGCGGCGCCGGCGAGCTGGTCGATTAGTCGGCGGGTTATGACAGGCAATCAGGGGTGGAGGGTACCGGCGCCGGCCAGCGGCGCCGGTATGCGCCAATTAGCGCGCGTTCCGTCCGGCGAACGTGCATTCGTGGGGCGCGTGCCTCGAGCTGCGCGGTACGACGGCTGTTACCTGTCCGGGCGGCGGCCGGCGCCCACTTTATGCGGTCCCTCTGTGATGGGGCGTGTCAGGCGCGCGGGTCGTGCAGCTGGTGGGGCGTTATGTGCAGCTGGTGGGGCGTTACGCCGTTTGGGAGTTGTTCGTCCAGAGGGAATTGAAAGAACGGAAAGAACTCGGCACTAGGATAACGAGCAGTCATTGGCCCAGCTGGAATGGCGCGTTGTTACGAGTCGTAATGACGCGAAGCATACTCATGATTCTGACAGCTGGTGGCCATAGAAAGAACTGCCAAATTAACGTGGACGAACCCTAAGCTTGTTGCTAAAGTGAAGTGCAGCCTCACGATAAAATGTAGGCAAAGCTTCAGCAAAAACGCGTCTCCACCAACAGCCTCCAAAGGTGGAGCACATTGTCATGACTTTGAACGGACTAGTGTCCCTCGGCCTGGCCGTGTCCGATGGCTGGCACAGCTGCCGCACCGCTGGAAATGATGGCCCGTCCGTCGGCAGACCGCTGACGCCGCCGTCTGTACCTGACCGTTCTCTCTGACAGCTGAGCGTTTGACTGACGGCGCGCCGCGCAGCACCGGATGGATGCGGCGGTGTACGAGCCCGCACGCTAGGTCGGTCACCTCAGACCCAGGGACGGCGAGCCCTTGACCCTGGGACCAGCTGGGATCGGCCGCCGGGGGTGGCCGGGTCGGCCGGAAGCCGGGACGCCGCCAGGCGGAAGTCGTCGTCTTCGGAAGGCGGCTCCCATATTCCCAGCAGCCAGCATTTGGCACCGTTTTGCTGACGAGGTGCCAAAACCGACGGCCGGCTCTATCAATTTAAACAACGAGCCAACTTTGCCGCCGGATGAATTTTCCAGCAAACTTGCTGGCCTGACAGAGACACTTACACGGCCTGTAATTTGGTCAACTTTTAATCCACGCGCGCCAGCGAAAAGTTTCGGACCCATTATTAATGAAGTATGAGAAATTGGATATGCACTACTTTACCAAATCGATGCGCTTAGACGGAAGGCAATTATTTCGTAATGACCTGTTCAGTGATGAATAGCGCATTATAATAGTGCCTAGCGTCTGCGGCGAGCACGAATTCCGGGCTGACATTTGAAGGAAATTAATGCGTTCAAGGAACAACTACCTCTGTTGGTACTCAGCCCGTCAGGAGGCGATCGTTGCGCGGGATGGCTGGATGTTGACCTTGACATATGGCTGGTGTGTTATATACACACATAATGCCACTGACGCTGTCACCATGAGCACAAGTCATCGTCGGCGATATAACGAACTGCCGATTCCACCACATGATTTCGTGTTGGGATCTGTGCTCTGTGTGCCGGCGAGGCGAACACGAGCTCCGCGGCTCACTGCCTCGCCCAACGCCTGGTATTCACTCCGCTTCGTCCGCGAGAACCGTGTTGGCTGTCTGTGTACATTACATCCATTACGAACGCCTATAACCGTCACTAACGCGAGGAAAACGGCGCCGTCCCGATATAATTCAGCTCGTGGCGCGATGATAATCATCACCCTCCGCCCCAACCGGCACGCTGTTGATTGCTGGGGCTGGCACGAAGCGGAATGTCCAGCGTGCTGCTCTTGCTGCTTCATCGGGACTCATGAGGACTTCCTGGGGCGCTGACCTCTTCATCCGGGTCGAAACATGATCGGCGCCCAGAGCGGTGGCAATGCATGCACAGCCAGCAGCGTTTCATGGGGATCATTAGTGGCAACATTAGCGGCCATGTCGTTGGCTACCGGCTGGAATGTTGGTCGGGTTTGCTGGCCTGGTGGGTGTGAGCGTGTGACGCCGTCTCGGTCTGCTTAACGCGAGCGGAGC